GTTTGTGTGTGTGTGTGGGGGGGGGTTTGGGGGGGGGGGGGTGCTGCGTGTGTGTGGTTGGCGGGTGCACCAAAGATGTATGCTGCAATTGTAAGGTGAGCCGGGCGGGCAGCAGGTGTTGTGGTGGTGTGGTGGTGGCGGGGTGGTATGGGTGTGAATGTGGACCGCCGGCGGGTGTTGCTGCTGCTGCTGCCAAAAGGCGGGAGGCGTTGGTGCGGGGGCCGCGCAGCTGGCAGGGGCAGGCGCCGGCGCTGGCTGCCAGCAGGAGCGAGTCCAGTGCAGTCGCTTTCGGCGCGGCGATCTACCCTCCTGGGACCACACGCCCCCACCGTCCGACCTACTTTTGTATCAAGTTAATATACAAACCCCAACCGTTCTGCCCCCCTTCCGCATGCAGGTGGTGGAGCCCAAGATCGCCAAGCTGCGGGAGAGCGAGGCAGAGCTGCGGGTCGCCACCCGGGAGCGGCAGGCGGCAGAGGAGGAGCTCAGTGTGGTGCAGGCGAGTGCCACACACGCACCGGTGGTGGCATGGGCTGCTGCTGGGCGTGGATGGCATGGCGCTTGCCAGCCACAACACTTGACCGGGGAGGGGAGGGCTGAGGCCTGGGAGGGGAGCAAGGGAAGAATACGCAGGCATTTGGCGGATCTCGGTTTGGCTGATGGGCATGCACCCCCCATTCTTCTCCTGCGAGCGGTGCAGGCCAGGCTGGATGAGATGCAGGGCCAGTTCGACGCTGCCATGGCGCACAAGCAGGTGGGCTGGAGGGGCGTGGTGGTGTGGGAGTGTGGGCGGGCGGCCGGCAGTTCTGGCGTGCGGGCGGCGCCCAGCCCGCCGCAGCAGCAGGCTGAGCTGGGCGCGGGGCCCAGTCAGACACGCCCCGCGATCGTGGTGCCTCTGCTTTTTAGCGTCAACAGTCTGCACAGGCTAACTTGCGGCGCCGAGAGCCTGCTCTTGCTGACACTGTGGAGCTGTGAGCCCTCTCATGCAAGCTGGGTAGGAACCTGCGGCACATGCCCCTGATGCCCCACTGGCCGCCGCCGCTGCCCCCCATGCTTGCAGGCGCTGGAGGAGGACGCCGCGGCCACCCAGGCCCGCATGGACGCCGCCAACGCGCTCATCTCGGCGCTGGGCGGGGAGGAGGTGCGGTGGACGGCGCAGAGCCGCGCCTTTGACGACCAGATATCGCGCCTGACGGGGGACTGCGCGGTGGCGTCCAGGTGGGGGGGCGTGCACGCGCGTGTGTGTGTACTATGTGTGTAGGGTGTCTCTGTGTGTTTTGTGTGGAGGGTGTTGGTATTGTGTGCGTGTGGGGTGTAAGCGGGGATGTACATGTCTCTGAAATGTGCCGCGGCTGCGTGCCTGCCGCTGCTGCTGCCCGCATCCCGCCGCCGCCTGCACTGCCACATACCATATGATATCCGCCCCTACCTGCCCTGCCCCGCCTCCTCCTCCCCGCCTGCCTGCCTGCAGCTTTGTCTCCTACCTGGGTCCCTTCAACCGTGAGTTCCGGGAGCTGCTGGTGGCGCGGGACTTTGTGGGGGCCTGCCTGCGCCTGGGCATACCCGTGACCAAAGACCTGCAGGCGAGCTTGCGCTGTTGTTGGTGTTGGTGTTGTTGGTGGCGTTGTTGTTTAAGCTGCCCGCCCCAGCAGCTGCCGCCTGGCTGCCCGCACGTCGGTCAGTCGTGCAGTGCGGCGACGGCAGGCAGGGCTGCTGGCGGCCGCAAGGCTGTCCGCCATCGTGGCAGACAGGCGGCAGCGGCGGCGGCTCTTGCCTGCGCAGCCTCCAACGCCGCCGCGCACCCTCACTCCCTCCCTGTCCTCCCACCTCCCTCCTCCCCCGCCACCTGCCCCCACAGGTCACCTCCTTCT